GCTACTGCTACCTGCTGAATAGGGGTGTCCTTTTCCTTCAGAGGTAAGAGAGCCTTGCTCGCAGTAAGAGGGGAGATGAAACCTGGGCACAGACAAGTGTGGTGATGATGGTGGTGATGCCTGGAGGCAGTACTCCTTGAGTGGGAGTAAGGCTTGCAACATGGAGGAGTCATACTTTGTTACTAATCTCTATATTATCGAGGAAGCCAGAAAACAAAATAGTATACATTTCTAAGTTAAAATATTAAGATTATTCTCTGAACTAGAGTTTAGTGCTCATGACTGTTTAGTACAGAGGCTATTGAAGCCAATTTCCTCTACATATAATTACACTCACTTGTATCAAAATACCAAATTAAGACTAATTCGCTTTAGCTGCAGTAGCTCAGTGGCTTGAATGCCAACCTGTGAATCAAAGAGCCACAGGTTTGATTTCCAGACTAGGGCTTACACTTGAGTTACAGGTGTGGTTCCTCATGTGGGGCCTGTGAAAAACAACCACCCATTAATGTTTTTCTCCCTCTGTTCCTCCCTGCCTTCCTTTCTCTAAAAATAAATTAAATTAATATTCAGAAATTTTAAAAAAATCTCTTCACCTTTTTTAGATGTGTTGTAAATAAATTCCTATTCTATTATTTTTCTTCAACATCGTTATATGTATATTACTGTATAGTCTTAAGTATTTAAAATAAATTGCCAATGTTTTACTTTATTGAATATTCATTTACACAAAGTAATAATAAATGTATCAAACATAAATATGGGGTAGCACAACTTTACTTCTAACAATAAAGAGTATGTATGTGTAGGTAATCAAATATCTAACAAAATATAATATAACTTTTTAAAACATATAAAATCATTTCTTTCTATGCAAAAGTTGAAGTTTCTCCCTTTTAACTATCTGAATACAAACCAAAGAAAGTCTCTTTTCAGTTCCACTGATATTTAAATTCATTTACCTCCTAAATTTATGATTCAGATGAAATATATAATTTGTTCTCTACATCTCGTACAACTCCTTAATTTGCATAAACACTCTGCGATATACACAGTCTTTCTGCTATGGACACGGTTCTTTTTAATTTGTTTTTTTTTAATTCATTAAAAACAACCAACTTTAGGACAAATTATTTTCTTCTATTTCTTCAAGTGTTTTCATATCTTATACCTTCTATTAATAATTCATACAATTACTTTCCAACTTAATTAGAATGCTGAATTCGTAGAAGCCATGGTTTTATTGACAATTAAAGTTACTAATTAGCATTCTTTAGATTGATATATTTATGACCATTACATTATTTTTAGAAAAATGTTTTTTTTTTCAAACAGGAAACACATTCATAATTTTTAGCCATATTTCAAATGTAGCACAAGTTATATTTGTTAACAGAACTAAGTCAAATTTCCAGGTTCTCTACATTAAGAAGTCAGCATAGTGTAAGTTTTGTTGTCTGGTAACACTGCTTTCTTAACCAACACCTGAATAAAATATACAACACAATGTGAGAACTCTGAATACCAGCAATCCCTCTGGAAGGAAGAAACCACCAACAAAGAAGTCACCTACAGGTAAGGTACAAGTGCAAGATGAGAGCCCACAAAAAGAAGAAAGAACAATTCTGGAGCATCCAGGTAAGGAGATCAAAACAACTGAAGCATTGAGTCCCACAGAACACTTACAACAGAAGTTCACCCTATGAAGACAGCTGGCAATGCAGAACATCTGGAATCACAGAAACAAATAAAAAGAGTCCCTTAAAATGAGGAGAAATAGAAAGAACCCACAATCAATAGGAATGAAAATATTCACAGTTAAAGAGCTAAATGAAATGGAGAGAAGCACAGTATCAGATATACAATTCAAAGAATGGTTATAAAGATGCACAAGTAATTAACTGAAAACTACAAGAAACGGGGAGGGACTAGAACAATATGAAAAATAAAATAGAAGCTATAAACAAGAAGAAAAAGAAAACAAATAAAACATCTGAAAACAAAAACAAAAAAATTTCTAGGTAAAATTACAAGCAGGCCGGATGAAGCAGAGTGGAGAGGACTGAATTAGTGAACTGGATTACAAGGTATAAAGTAATACTTAGGTAGAGCTGCTGCATGAAAAAGGCTCACCTATATAACAATAGCTTAAGGAAACTCCAGAGCAACAAGTAAAACAACAACATTTAAATAAAGGAATGCAAGAAGGAGAAGAAAATAAGGAAGGGATAGAAACACAGTTTGAAAAATTAATGACAGAAAACACCCCTAACATGGAGAGGGGAAAAGCTACACAAATTCAGGAAACACAGATGGCCCAGTCAATCTAACCCAAAGAGACCTACTCTAAAACACATTGTAATTAAAATGCCAAATTTCAAAGACTAAGAGAAGATCTTAAAGTTAAGAAAGGAAAAACAAGGTGCGAACTCATCCCACATTATTCAGGTGCCATCTTGCTTAGGCAGACCGCTCTCCAGAGAGGCAGCAACATGAAAGGACAAAATAGCCACGCGCCCAGTAAGCTCGGCCCTGGCCCAGTGCTGTGCAGACCCAGATGGTGAGTACTGAGAAGCAATCACAGATATTAGGACCCTTGCTAAGGGGGACAGGGAGTGATCTAGGGATGCTTTAGGAAAGTCTGGCCACAGAGGCTTTCGATAGAAAACTGATGTAATAGTGAGAAATATTTCAGTGCTGACTATTCCCTCATATGGCAGCACCCATCTTGCTCAGGCAGGCCACTCCCCTGAGCAGCAGCAGCATGAAAGGACACAATAGCCCTGGCCCTAGCAGAGACACTACTCCACCCTGACTGCTGAGGGCAGAGTAACTAGATTAACTACAGGAGAACACAAACACAGGCAGTAGATTTCAAGAAGTTTCTTAAAGACTGGCTAAGGTCAGATGGGTTCAAAAGCTGACGTCATCAGATTCATATCCATAAAGAAAGAAAAAAAAATAAAAAAAGGGGGAGTCTCCTACTATTAAAGTTCACAACACAAAGTCAGGAAGTCAGATAAATCAATTTAAGAAGAATAACCAAAAAAGAAGAGTGTCTCAAAAATGGGAAGGAAAATAAACACTCCCCAAAGGAAAAGGAGGAAACCTCACAAGATAAATAATGAAATAGAGACAAGTAAACTATCAGATATTGGGTTTAAAACATCTGGTTCTAAGGAAGCTCAGTGAGCCCAGTGATCCCAAAGAGAATTACCAAAAACTACAGGGAAACTATGAGCAACTGATTATAAACTATATTAGCATGAAAGCAGACATGGAAACTATCAATAAGAAGCAAGAGGAAATGAAGAATACAATTTCTGAATTGAAGAACACAGTAGAGGGAATCCAGAGTGGGCTCAGTGAAGCAGAGGATCGAATTAGTGAGCTGGGGAACAAGGGAGAAAAAAGATCCCAGAAAGAGCAAGAAAGTGTCCAAGAAGACAAATGATCCAATAAAAAAAAATGGATAAAGGACCTCGGCAGACATTTTTCCAAGGAAGAGATACGGAGGGCCCAGAGACATTTGAAAAGATATTCGACATCACTAGCTATCAGAGAAATGCAGATCAAAACCACAATGAGGTACCACCTCACACCGGTCAGAATGGCCATCATAAACAGATCAACAAACAACAGGTGCTGGTGAGGCTGTGGAGAAAAGGGAACACAGTGCACTGTTGGTGGGAATGCAGACTGGTGCAGCCATTATGGAAAGCAGTGTGGAATTTCCTCAAAAAGCTACAAATGGAACTGCCTTTTGATCCAGTGATTCCCCTGTTGGGATTATACCCTGAGAATCCCAAAACGCCAATTCAAGAGAACCTATGCACCTCAGTCTTCATAGCAGAACAATTTATAATAGCCAGGTGTTGGAAGCACCCTAAATGCCCATCAGTATATGATTGGATCAAGAAATTGTGGTACATTTACACAATGGAATACTACACAGGAGAAAGAAAAAAAGAACTACTAAACTTTGTGACAGTATGGATGGAACTAGAGGGCATTAGGCTAAGCAAAACAAGCCAGGGGGCGAAAGACAAATACCATATGATCCCACCTATAAGCGGAACCTAACTACCAAAACAAAGATGCAAGGAAAGTAAGACCAGCAACACTGAAAGGGAAAGAAACCAACAGAGACAAGAGGGAAAGAAGGGTAGACAGGGGGAAAAGAAGGGAAGGGGCAAGTCAAAGAACATATAGCAAAGACTCATGGACAAAACCAAAGTGGGGGAGGATTGAGGGAGGGAGGGGAAAGGGGGCAGAGGAAAGTGGTGGGGGGAAGGCAGAGACAAATGTATTTGGAATAATAAATTAATTAATTAATTAAAAAGACTTCCAATGGAAACTTCAGAGATGGTACATCACCCTCTCAGGTTGGTCTCATAAGACTGCAGGAGTCAGTCTGAGGCTCAGCTTAGAGCCCACTCCTCTATCTATTGCCAAGATTTTTTAGGTGCCCAATGCCATGTAATGAATACCTATCTGTCCTAAAAAGGTAAGAAAGAAAGAGAGAAAGAAGACAGAAAGAAAGAAGAAAGGAAGAAAAGAAACAAGATGCTGAGAATGACTGCCATTAATTTTTGAATTATTTTACCAATATAGACATTATTTGTATGAAAATATAACATGTTGGAAATTATGGATATACTAGAGTTTTGGGATCAGACGATGTCTGAACCAGTGTTAATCCTTTTTAAATCTATTTGAAAGATGCATGAGATTTCAAAAGTCACTTACACATCTAGTCCACCATTGCATAGCCTATGTGTCTCATGAACCAGTGGTTTCCTTGTCTCTGACTTACATGTTCAGTGAGTGCCAGAGGAGATAGAACCCAACAGAGGTCCCAGAATAACCAGGGAGCCTTACCTTGGTATCTCTTTACTTATATAGGAAAGGCTGCCTCACATGCAAATTTCTCTTCTTGCTCCAAGGTAAATCCTCCCCTGGGCAGTGTGGGTGAGCAGATGTCCCAGTGCAAAGTGCTGAATTCTCTGCAGAAGACAGAACTGTATTCTAGAAGAAGATGAGACTGCTGGGTCTCTTCCTGTGCTTGGTGACAGTCCCCCAGGGTAAGTGACTTAGATATCAGACATGGGTCTGTGGGTGCTGGTGACTGCAAATGAATGACATAAACTGATTCTCCTTGTCCCCAGGTGTCCTGTCCCAGGTGCAGCTGCAGGAATCGGGCCCAGGACTGGTGAAGCCCTCACAGACCCTCTCCCTCACCTGCACTGTCTCTGGATTCTCTTTAAGTGGCAATGGGGTGCACTGGACCCGCCAATCTCCAGGGAAGGGGCTGGAGTGGGTCGGTGCTGTATGGAGTGATGGAAGTACAAACTACAACCCAGGGCTGAAGTCCCGACTCAGCATCACCAAGGACAACTCCAAGAACCAAGTCTATTTGACACTGAACAGCCTGAGAGCAGAGGACACGGCCATGTATTACTGTGCAAGAGACCACAGTGAAAGGAAGTCAGTGTGAGTCTAGACACAAACTTCTTGTAGGAGACAGAAGGGCTGTGCTGCAGGAAGTGCTCAGGGCACCAGGGGGCACTCAGGTCCAGCAGAGGAGAGATTCAACCCCAGGGCCAGATTTGGACCTGGGTCGGGGAGGAAGGATCTTTCCCTTGGGAGAAAGCATATCCTTTCAGATATCTCATATGCACCCAGGGATAATTCTTCCCTTTTCTCTGTGAATATAATTTCTCAGATTCTCTCTGCAGAAAATATATGAAGAAATGACAATATATGTTTGCTGATGGTATATCAACAATTAGAACTTTCCTTCACCAAGTCACTGTATGTCCTGTTATTCCTCCTTAACTAAGTGCTTCATAAGCTTGTATCAAATTGCATTTAACAGGTTAACTTTAATTTACTCTAGGTGTGTTTGCTCTAGAAGAAAAAAATTCTATGGTCATACAAATATATATAAAAATGTTTAAGCTTATCTGTTAGAACATAGAAACCAAACAGAAGTTCTAGTTTTAAATTAAGCAAACAAGGGAGCATCAATGGGTGCAATTTTATTTACCAGTGAAAATAACAACCAGCAGGTACAGGCATCAATGCATGTGGATCTCAGAAATCTCTCGACATGGAAGGGGCCTCAGAGAAAAAAAGGGTATGGAATACATCTGGAACTCTACCTGATGGATTATTTCCAGCCCTTTTCCTGACGAAACTCTGAGTCAGGTTATTCAGCATCCACTGAAGACAAAGATGGCTTCACCACTCACTCAGTAAGGATCTGAGTGCTCAGATATGAGAGCAAGGCAGCTTACATCACAATGGCCCCCTATCCTGGTTGCAGGGTGTACCCTGCAAGACATATCAGAGGCTATCATGGCCTTATGGCCCCAGGAGCACTGTGCCCAGGACAGGAGTTATATCCCTGGCATCAGTTGGGGATATAAAAGGGCAGAGTGAGCACTTTTTTTTTTTTTTGGTAGCGCCTACCTTGAGCTCAACTTCTGCAGTCAACAGCTTAAGGCTGAACAAGGGGCAATGATATCTTCCCTTCTGGAAACATGGCCTTCTGACTAGGAGCTGGCATCATGTAGTTTGTGCTCTTGAACACACTGTCTTGAATGATTCTGCTGCACTGGGACAAGAAAGGGAAGGTATGTACCTTTGATTAAGATGTCTTGCTGTTTCCACTCTGAACATCTCTTCTGGAGCAAATGTTATTCATTAATGTGTTCCAATAGGGACATTCTCCAGTCACGATAAGACTTTTAAAACAATTTCTGCATTCTGGCTAGGAATGAAGACCTTTTAGCTCTTTATGCCCTTATGCTAGAAGACATGTTTCATTTTCTATGTGTTTGTGGTGAGATTTCCAAGTAATATATACCTTTCACACAAATGAAAAACACATGCAGCTGGTTTACTCTGGGTGCATTGATAGGCAGTTGACTTCTGGAACCAAAGCACTCTGCATAGCAGGATGTTTCTTCCTTGGAAAGACAGCTCAACTGTGCCTCTCCCATCAGCTCTGGGCAACCACAACACTCTCCTCTCTTTTAACACCTGGAGTGTCTGAGAGACCTGACATAAGAAAGGCCATTTGGTGTTTGCTCAGCTTTGCCTATATCACTTCACTCAACATGATATGCTCAAGATTCATTCATGCAGTGGCTCAGAGCAAGATTCTTTTAAATTATTGTAATGATATGGTAAAAATAAATGAAGGGAACAATATGAGTGACAACCAATGTTTATCTGATCAAAATGAAGTGCTATTTGGGAAGCACAGGTTCAGGAAGAAGCCCTAATAATGCTTTGATGAGGGGTGAAAGGAATGGGTGTTACTGGGAAAGAGAGGGATGCTGGTAGAAGAGTAGAAGAGAGGAGCTTAAATCCTTTACACAAGATAAGGTATTTTTTAGCTGATCATGGAGGTATGAATTGTAAAGACTGTCTATAATTTTCAATTCTGTATTTAAGGTATATAATGTTAGCTGTGTAAACAGTGGTTTGAAATGCAATGTTAGGGGCACACTGAGGTAACTGTGCTGAGTCCAAACCTATCAGATGTTGTGTAAGAAGAGGTATCAGGTGGTTTCTCTGGAATGGCTGCCTGCACTGTATTTTAACACTACTCCTCTCCTCTCACCTTTTTACAGTAAGTAGTCTTCACATGTGATGTGTCAGGCACAAATGCTTCAATATTCAATACATTGTGAGTCATTCAGGCTCAAGTTGTACACCAGACCCTCAGCCCTGACTCTGCCAAATGGTGAAAACTTACAGCCATGGAACACCAGCTTCCCAAGTTCTACCTCTGGTGCTGCGAGGACTATCCTGCTCCCTGTGATCATGGGCTGCACTGACTTAGAGATCTCACCTTTGTGGGGGTCACAAAGTGCTAGTTCTTCTTCATTGCATAGTGCATACATCCATGGCGTATATTTACCAAAATGATAAAGATTTATTTGATTTATCATATTACTATGAAAAATCCTTAAAACATTTCTTTACTTGATGCAGTTTCCAAGTGTGATAATGCATTATGACAACATCTACATAGAAGAGAAATATGCAGTGTCTGTGGTGACTTGGTGGCGCACATACTTGACACATGTCTGAGAATCCCAGCACAGATCTAGGGCCCTGGGTAAATGCCAAGTTTCTCAGTGCTCTCCTAGGTAATGTTCACGTCTGACCTTCCCCACACTGTGACAACTGAAAGATCTTCTCATCTGTTTCTGGAACTAAGCAATACTCTGACATGGGACACATGCCCTCTGACACAGATACAGGTTGTGTCCATTAAACTCCCACTGAGCATGGTGTCCTCTATCTTCTCTAAGGTGATGTCAAAGTTCAGCTATGACCCACTCTGACTCATGCATATGTAAGTAAAGAGAGGTATACTAGGTTAAATATGGGTCTGCCTCAGCTCTAAAAACATCACCCACAGCCACACCATCCCCTACAGAAGTCCTGGGAGCATAGACCCATGAACTGGAGCTTTACAACACTGTTCCTCATGGCAGTGTTTACAAGTAAGGGCCTTCACAGTCTCTCAATTGAGGAGGGCACCAGTGACAGCCAAGAGGAACTTCCATCCAGTTCTGCCTCCTCTCCATAGGTGTCTGTACCCAGGTTCAGGTGGTACAGTTTTGGGAAAAGGTTAAGAAGCCTATGTCTCACTGAAGATCTGCAGCAAGGTTTCTGGGTACGCCTTCACCTCCTGCAATATGGGCTGGGCATGGCAGGCTCTAGAACAAGAGCTTGAGTGGATGGGATAGCTTGACCCTAACAATGCTGGCATGGAAGTCCTAGGGCAGAAACTTCATGAGTGCAGAGAAGTCAATGGGTACAACCTACAATGGAGCTGAACAACCTATGAGCAGACAGCACCATATCTGTGGGTGCAGCACAGGGAGAGGAAGTCAGTGTGAGCCCAGACACAAACCTCCCTGCAGGAGACATGAAGGCTGGGCTACAGTAGGATATCAGGGCACTACAGGGAGCTCAGGACACCAGGTGGTGTTCTGGAGCCCAGAGAACAGAGACCAACCCTGGGGGCATGTGTGAGCATTGGTGTAGAAGAAAGAGACTTCTTTTTGTGAACAGGGATTTCTTCTCGATGCTATCAGCTGCATTCAGGGACACGTCTTCCTTCTGTGTGGCTCTCATTTCCCACATTTTAATGCAGGCAAGAAAGGAAGAAGTGATACAGTCTGTTTGCATATGAAATTCCACCTTGTACCTGGGGACTATTCTTTCAACACCTTATTATTTCTTCTTCCTTGACAATGAACAACTCTGAGTGTTGCAGGGAATGGACGCATGTCATCCAGCAGAAGTGCACACACCACCTTTCCTTATACAAAATAATCTTGACCCCAGGGACACGTCCCAGTTCCAGCTCACATTGAAGGTGACCTCCGTGACAAACGAGGACGCAGCCACAGGTTACTGTGCTATACACAGAGGGTGAGACAGTGGCAGGCCTAACAGCAAAGCCCCTCCTTGAGGCTGGAGGAGTGGGGCTGGGCTTCAGGAAGATGCTCAGGACATGGCAACACCAAAGGACTATCTGTTGAAAAGGTGCAGAGGGAGTCTGGGAACAGGGTGCTTGAATTAGCCTGTGATAACTCCATTCACAGAAAATTCCTTCTCATTGGCCGTCCTTCTTATTCCTCCATCTAGGTGTGCATCTCTTTGTTAGTGTGTCTCTTAATGTGTGCAACTGTGTGTGGGTGGGTGTTACCATGTGCTTTACCTGCATGTACAATTTTGTGTTAGTGAGTGTATGTGTGCAGTTGTGTTTGTCTAAGTTCATATGTGTTTCTACTTGTTTTTATACTCTTAGTACTGGAATGGCTTTTATAAAAGAAGGAGGGGTAACATTTCTTTAGAACATTTCCTGATTTTCTTCTTGAATTAGCCTCTTTGGAATTTGTGAAAATTTCCTTTTTTTCTTTTTTCTTTTTTTTAATTTTATTTTAATTTATTTTTTCAAATGCATTTGTCTCTGCCTCCCCCCCACCACTTTCCCTTGCCCCCTCCCTCCTTCCCTCCCTCAGCTCTTCCCCTTTGGTTTTGTCCATGAGTCCTTGCTATATGTTCCTTGATTTTCCCCTTCCCTTCCTTTTCCCCACCCCCCTCCCTCCTTCCCTCTTGTCTCTGTTGGTTTCTTTTCCTTTCACTGTTGCTGGTCTTATTTTCCTTGCATCTTTGTATTTTTTTTTCAATTCCAGTTGACATTCTATGTAATTTTTAAAATATACTCTACAGCAGAGTAGTCATACAGTTATGTAATTTGTGATGTGATGGCCCTATATGTCCAGTATCCACCTGGCATCACATACAGTTACTAAAATAGTATTGACTTTATTGACTGCTGTAAGTTACATCCTGGTATTTACTCTCTAACTGCCAGTTTGCCTTTCTACATTTGCATATTTATATTTCTTGGAATAATAATAATACATATAACATTGAAAATATGTATTTTATTCCAT